CCAGTGCAAGGGGCCAGTGGGGAGAAGCAGCTGAGGGAGCTGACCCCAGATCCCGCCCCCCCCCTGCACTAGGGAGAGGCCCCCTTAAGTGCCAGGGAGAGCCCATCCCCCCAGTCCCTGCCCTCGCAATGTCCCGTCTGTGGAGAGGGAGAAGCCGTTTGCTGTTTTCTCTTGCAAGGAGCCCGTGGGCATCTCCTCGCTCGCTGGGCAGAGCACCCTGCCCTGGCCTTGCCTACCCCTCTTGCTCTGCAAGGAACCCTGGAGGTTCCAGGTGCACCTTCCCTAGCTTCAGGGGGCAGGCTGGGAACATGGGCCCAATGCCCCGGAGACGCCTCTGTGAGGGTATGTCTACACTGCCACCCTAGTTCGAACTAGGGTGGCTAATATAGGCAAATACCCCAGGCTTCATTTGCAGGTTCCCGGGCGCCGCCATTTTTAAATGCCCCGTAGTTCAAACTACCTCCCCTCCAGGGAGGTTTAACGGTAGTTCGAATTAGGAGCTTTAATTCGAACTACCTAGCCCGTGCTGCATGTAACCATGGGCAGGTAGTTCGAACTACAGGGCATTTAAAAATGGCGGCGCCCAGGAACATGCAAATGAAGCCTGGGATATTTAAATCCCGGGCTTCATTTGCAAGTTCGAATGCCTACATTAGCCACCCTAGTTCGAAGTAGGATGACAGTGTAAACAAACCCTTAGCCATTATCTAAATTATTGATAAAGACGTGACAGAACTGGTCCCAAAAATGAGCCATAGAGAACACCGCTTGTTATGCCTTTCCAGCGTTACTGTGAACCATTAACAACTTTTATCTATTTTAGTATGTTAATTCACACATCTCTCCCTACTTTAACTAAAACCCTTTTCACTGATGTTAACTCCCATACAATGAATATTAATAAGCAGGTAATGAATATTATTATACCCCTCCCTAATTACTATTTACAGAATGTCTAATTAAATCAACACTTTTCTATGCTGCAAACTTTCCGGATCAACAGGTTACAGAGATTACAGGAAAAGTAACCCTGAAATATTATACAGCGCCCAGGAGGGGAGGTAAAAGACACAACAAAGAAGAGCAGCTGCATTACTTATCTATTTTTCTGAAAAGACACAACAAAGAAGAGCAGCTGCGTTACTTATCTATTTTTCTAGGCTGCAAAAATGCAGGGAAAAAGCATATTTATACATCAGGAAGGACAATACCGGTTTTGGCCGGACTCTTAGTCTCTCTTTCCAGACTATAGAAACAAAGGGGAAAAACATGTTCAAGAGTAATGCCGCCCGTGGCTGAACTTCTTAACCACTAGTGTTTAGCCATCCCAGACCCATATTAATTTTTACACTTCCCAAAAGCCTTCAGCAGCCTCAGGAGCCTGTAACCCTCCCACTGGCATCTAGTTCAAATTCCCTGCAGGGTTGGGAGCAAAGTGGAGAGCCCCCAGGCCTGGCTGTTGTACGGCGAGGATGGGAGGAGAGGTAGAGCCATGAAGTGACAGCAGCTCCAGTCACCTGGCCTGGCAGCGTGGCGCTCGGCGGATGCTGCTCTGCCTGTGAGAGGGCTCTGTGATCCAGCAACAGCTCTCCATCCAAGGCCTCGGTGTCCCCGACGGCTGAGCGCAGCTTCCGTCCCAGTGGGGAACTAGCTGGTTCTCTGGGAAACCCTCCCTTTCATAGAATCCCAGGGCTGGAAGAGACCTCAGGAGGTCATCAAGTCCAGCCCCCTGCCCAAGGCAGGACCAATCCCAACTAAATCAACCCAGCCAGGGCTTTGTCAAGCCGAGACTTAAACACCTCTAGGGATGGAGATTCCACCAACCCATTCCAGAGCTTCACCACCCTCCTAGGGAAATAGTTTTTCCTAATATCTAACCTAGACCTGCTCCACTGCAACTTGATACCATTGTTCCTTGTTCTGCCATCCATCACTACTGTGAACAGCCTTTCTCCATCCTCTTTGGCACCTCCCTTCAGGAAGTTGAAGGCTGCTATCAAATCCCCCCTCACTCTTCTCTTTTGCAGACTAACTAAGCCCAAATCCCTCAGCCTCTCCTCATGTGTCCTGTGCTCCAGTTCCATTTTGGTTGCCTTCTGCTGGACCCTCTCCACTGCATCCACATCCTTTCTGTAGTGGGGGGCCCAGAATTGGATGCCCTCCTGCTGGCAATGCTTCTCCTAGTGCATCCTAATATGCCATTAGCCTTCTTGGCTACAAGGGCACACTACTTGCCACAGGACTCTTCGTCGCAAGGGCACACTGTTGACTCATATCCAGCTTCTCATCCAATGTAACCCCCAGGTCCTTTTCTGCAGAACTGCTACTTAGCCAGTCAGTCCCCAGCCTGTACCAGTACTTGGGATTCTTCTGTCCCAAGGTTAGGATTCTGCACTTGTCCTTGTTGAACCTCATCAGATTTCTTTTGGCCCTATCCTCCAATTTGTCTATGTTACTCTGAACTCTCTCCAGTGTACCTACTTCTGTCCCTAGCTTAATGTCATCCAAGAACTTGCTGAGGGTGCAATCCATCCCCTCATCCAGGTCATTAATAACAATGTTGAATGAAACCAGCCCTTGAAGTAACCCGTGGGGCACTCCATGTGATACCAACCATGAGCCAGACATCAACAGTAAGCATTATGCTTAGATATAAGCTTGTGACTAGTGATTTTTGATGGCCCAGCATTGGTACCTAATATGAGATTCTGTAAGGGGGTTATCCTGTTAATATGAGGTGCTTGTAAGAAATCTCAAGTTGGGAAACCAAAAAATTAGAGACTCAAAAATCTTGACTTTCCTTCAAAAATGTTTGCCTAAGGATAGATGCAGCCACCATACAGAATCCACTGAGATATTCCTTGTTGTATTTTATTAATCCTGAGAGTACTATCTCTCAGGCTTGGTTTTTCTGGGAATGAGTGACACCACGCTATGATTAAGCTAAGGTCCTACTATCAAATAATCTGTCCGTGGCCCATTTTTACAAGTATACGCAAGGAGTGTGTTCCCACTGAAGTCAATTGAATCAGGACTATACTCAATATTTTAATTGTTGATTACAACACAAACCTTAATTACCTTCTTCCTAAAAGTAAAACCATAGGACTTAAGTAGGATTGTCTACATCCCAGGATTGTCCAGCAGTCTCCAGGATTGAAAGATAATTTTAACTAAGATTAATCTTTTCATGTGATGAAATCTCTAGAAATAAATCCAACTAAGGATGGCAATCTTCTCCCTAGTCATCTGTCCAAGTTTCCACTTCTTGTAAGCTTCCTTTTCTGTTTAAGATCACCAAGGATTTCCCTGGTAAGCCAGTCTGGTCGCCTACCATATTTGCTTTTCTTGCTGCATATCGGGATGGTTTCTTCCTGTGCCTTCAGTAAGACTTCTTTAAAATACTGCCAGCTGTCCTGGACTCCTTTCCCCTTCATGTAGCATCCCAGGGAATCCTGCCCATCAGTTCTCTGAGGGAGTCGAAGTCTGCTCTTCTGAAGTCCAGGGTGTGTATTTTGCTACTCTCCTTTCTTCCTTTGGTCATCTGCCATCTCATGATCACTGCTTCCCAGGTTGTCATCCACCTCTACTCCCCCTACTAGTTCCTCTCTTTTTGGGGGGGCTGCGGCCGTGTTTGCAGGCCTGGTGAATTCAGGACAAGGGGCTGGTGCCAGACACACTGCTGCCCCTCGGTGAGCTGGCAGGGGGCCTCACTAGTGTGTCTGGCGTGTGGGGC